GGCCGTGAGCTCGCCCAGGATTGGCTGGGGTGGTGGTTCCTCCTTTGGTGGGGCCGGGGCTGCAACAGGGACAGCGCAATGCAGGACACACTGGCAATAGACATCACTCCATCCATCCATCCATCCATCCATGCATCCATCCTGCCTGCCGCTCCACCCATCTAATCACCCACCCATCAGTCAACTCACCCAACCATCCACCCTTCCACCCATTTTCCATTCCTCCAGCTGTTTGTCCACCCATCCGCTCATCCATCCAATTCTCTCTTTGGCAATTCAGGCAGCCAGCCTGCCAGAAATCTGTCCTTCCATCCATCTAACCACCCATCTATCCATGCATGTGTCTTCCCACCCAGCCATGCTTCCTTCCATCCAGTCATCCATCATCTCTCCGAGACCCTTCTCCCTCAGATCACTCCATGGATCCATGAACTATCCATGCAACCATCCATCCGTTCATTCATTAAACAGTCTGATTATTCATCTGACCACCCATGCTTCCACCCATCCATGCTCCCATCCATTCATCTCTCCAGCCATCAATCAGTCCACCCAACCATTTTTCCAGCCACCCATCCAAAAATCCATCCATCCATCCAATCCCAACCATCCATCCAATCCCATCCATCCCCATCCATCCATCCATCCATCCAGTCCCAACCATCCATCCGTCCAGTCCCAACCATCCAATCCCAACCATCCACCCTTCCATCCTTTCATCCCTCTGACCTCGCATGAACCCCCACCCACCACCAAATCAAGGCCCAGATGCTCTTCCCGTATCTCCCAAGGTCAAAGGACCTGCCAAGGCTCCTGACTTGCTCCAAACCCAGCGCCCGCAGAGGACATAGACGGGGCCCAGAGATGCCCTCACCTGTGACGGCATCGGTGGAGATAAGACCAATCCGTTTCCGACCCCACACCCCGTACAGGTTGAACTTGTAGCGGCGGGACGGTGACAGCCCAGGCACCGTCACCCTGCGGGACCCCCCATCAACTGCAAGTGCCTGGGGTTGGCCTTGCACATCCCTGTACTGCACCGTGAAGGAGTCAAAGGTGCCCTCGAGGACGCTCCACTCCAGCTGGACAGAGCCAGGGGTGACATGGGAAACCACGAGCCCGCCCAGGCGGGGCCGGGGTGGTGGTTCCTCCGGTGGCGGGGCCGGCACTGCAATGGAGATGGCGCAAAGCAGAACATGAAG